TTTCATCTTAGTTCAAGATTTTCGTTTTTTGTTGAATTTGAGATCTTGATAATAACGCCATGTATAAAATGCATGTTTTTTAAGTCTGAAATCTCTAAAAGTTCACAAGAACGTAAAAAAACCTTACCAATCAGGCTAGAGCCTTCTTGTCCTCTGCTGTCCCAAGAAGTCGTCTCCACTCTACTCGATCCATGGCCACACTTCGCCAGCCTTCGCGTAGTTTGCGAAGGTTCTGCAGGTCGCCTTCTACTTGGTCGATCCACCATTTTTACTGGGTCGTCGTGCGGCATTCTTACGACGTGCCCAGCCCACCGTAGTCGCCCAATTTTTGCAATGTGGACGATGAATGGTTCTCCCAGCAGCTGGTGCAACTCGTGGTTCATTCGCCTCCTCCACGTTCCGTCATCCATGTGCACTCCACCGTAGATGATACGTAACACCTTCCGTTCGAAAACACCATGCGCATAGTCCAGGTCTCGTGGCCGTAGAGGACCACCGGTCTAATCAGCGTCTTGTAGATAGTAAACTTCGTGCAACGGCGAATTTTATTCGACCGGAGCGTCCTCCGGAGTCCAAAGTAGGCCCGATTCCCTGCCATAATGCGTCTTTGAATTTCTCTGCTGGTATCATTTTCGGCGGTCACCAGTGAGCCCAAATACACGAACTCCTCGACCACCTCGATTTCGAACCTCTTCCTTTAATGTATTTTGTCTTTGATGCGTTGATGGCAAGTCCAATCCGCCTAGCTTCAGTCTGATGTACGTTTCCGCCATCGTCTCAAAGTTCCGTGCCATGATGTCGATGTCATCGGCGAAGCCAAGAAGATCGATGGACTTCCTGAAGATCGTGTCACTCGTGTCTATCCCAGCTCTTCTGATCACACCTTCTAACGCGATGTTGAATAGCAGACACGAAAGTCCATCACCTTGTCGTAACCCCCTTCGAGATTCAAAGGGATTCGAGAGTGTCCCCGATACTCGAACAACGCACAACACTCGATCCATCGTTGCCTTGACCAATCGCGTCAGTTTATCCAGTGTGTGGGCATTTGGGCAATTCTATTTGAACGCTGCTCCTTTTCCAACTGTTATTTCTTGACATACAACGAACCGAATCAACTGAAATTTTGCGTATTTGATTTCAAAATATTGATCTTTCAATCGCTTTTAATTTGACTAAAACCTGTTCACGATAAAGACAAGCTATAGCAGTTTGATTTTTATCCATATAAAAAAAAAAACTATGGTGAACGAAATCCAAGATCTTCCATTAGTCGAAATAGTCACTATGATATTGGTATTTTTGGATCGGGTATAACTAAACTATTGGCAGGCAAATGGAAAACCAAAGCGGCCAAATAAAAAAAAATAGTCCATTTTCTTAGATGGTGAAAAAAAAACCTGCTAGGGGAAATGGATGTAATGTCGGCCTAAATGCCACTAATTTGGGCACATACATAAATTAAAAAATCGACTAAATTTTCAATAGTGACCAAAAATATCCATAGTACCGTCCCAATGACGCGTTCATCTTTATAAAATTGATAAATAGCTGATTTTTAGCGATGGGCCCAATCTTAGATCCATAGGCCAACATTAAAGCCATTTCCCCTATAACTTGTATTTGCCGTGAACAGTTTTTGGTCAAATAAGAAGCGTTTAAATATCAATATTTTGACTAAAAATGTGCAATATTTCAGTTGATTCGCTGATTACAGTTTGAAAAAGAGCAGTCAAATAAGAAGCATTTTACTAGATGATGTTGATGGTAGTGGTCTACCACTCATTGTAACTTTGAAACTAGAGGGGCTCTTCTAACTTGATCAAGCTTATTTACCTAGGGGATGAGTACTTAAGGGGGTTAGATTTTGATAAGTTCTTTAGTGGGAATGACACTGATGAAGACTGCACATTGTAGTCGAAATACGTATCTGTCATGGATACCAAAATTAATTAAGTGGAATTAAATGGAAGATAACCTTTTTTGCTGTTTTATTTAGCATTCCGCTAACAACCCAATTTCATTACTACATTGATCAAGCTTAATAACCTCTGATTGTCATCAGTAAATCGTTGTATGAAGGTTCAAAAACGGATGAATGGATTGATAGGCAATTCGCCTATTCATTTCCAGTTCAGAATCTCCTTCCAACAACTAGATCAGCCAATTGGTCAGTAAACAAGCCATCCAACAGGAAGATACCCCAATCAATGGGGAAGAAAGCCCGCCCTTTATCCACGGAATGTTAGCAACATGGAATAGACATTTTCACTCTCCCCATCCATATCGCTTCAATCGGGTGCCCTGATGCTCCTTCCCAATCCCAGCATTGGTTTGTATATAGGGGAAATGGATGTAATGTCGGCCTTGCCCCGTAACGTGGGTAGATCACCTTTTCGTGGTACGTTACGGGATGTAAGATCTACCACCGATTCCTAGTCCTAACTACTTCAAACTAGGGGAACAGGATTTTTCAGTAATCCAAGGAACACATCTTAGTCCTTGGTACTTTTTATGCCTTGTTGATAGTGACAAGACTCGGCTTTGTCTACCGAGGATGATCTTGAAACAAGGCAAAAAAATGAGTTAGTTGTCTTCATCTATGTGATTCCTAATCTTCTATCCGTTGTTCCCTAGTTCCTGACTACTTCATACTAGGGGAACAGGATTTTTCAGTAATCCAAGGAACACATCTTAGTCCTTGTTACTTTTTATGCCTTGTTGATAGTGACAAGACTCGGCTTTGTCTACCGAGGATGATCTTGAAACAAGGCAAAAAAATGAGTTAGTTGTCTTCATCTATGTGATTCCTAATCTTCTCTTCGTTGTTCCCTAGTTTGAAGTGGTTAAGACTAGGGTTCTGATGCATGGTCATTATCGGTGTCATACCTTAATTTTGTTGCTAAGGAATTCAACTTTGACTGACAAAGGGGCGCGCCTTTGGAGGGTGTTTCAACACTCCGAAGGGTATAAATAGCGGGACCTTTCAATTAGAGTCGGATCCTTGCGATAAATGCAAGAGTGGCAACTGTAAAAAAATCGAATAATACTTCATCATTTCTCAATAGTGATGGAGTAATACGACATGCACTAAACTAAGGACACGGGATATACTACAATAGATCAATTTACTGGTCGCAGTAGTGTTAGGTCCCGAACAGAGGAAAAAAAAATGTCGGCCTAAATGCCCCTAATTTCGGCCCATTCAGCAATCGACTAAATTTTCAATAGCGACCAAAAACATCCATTAGTACCGTCCCAATGACGCGTTCATCAAGATAAAATTGATAAATAGTAGATTTTTATCGATGGGCGCAATCTTAGATCTATAGGCCAACATTAGAGCCAGATTCCCCTATATGAGCAATAATAAAAATTAAACATTTAAAACGATCTCACCTGCTGTTTCTTCACCCTTATGTCAAATTTTCGTGCATATTTGTGAACTCGTTGTCGTTCTCTGTATCACTGCTAGTCGCTACTAGTCTCCCATGTTATTTCTGATGTGTTCTACGACATATCGACGTCCATTATCTTTGTATGTTGAGCTTGAGTTCCTAGTTGCGTCTTACAAAACCGTAACACCAGTGCGGAAAATAGACAGTGTCTCCGAGTATTTTTTTAACGAGCATCACTCCATTGTCGTATCGCATGTGCTCCATTTTGCAGCTCATTTTTCACTTTGTTGACTCCATGGTACCGGAAAAGGTATAGAAATATACATTATTTGTAATGCTGTGATATAACCATAACGGAATGGCCGTTCAAAATGGTTCAACGGATGTGAAATGAGGGAACATTAAATATGTTGACTAACAATTAGTATCAATGTTCCGTCATATCGTATCTTCAAGTGATCTTTGCAAGCGCCACATTTCTTTCAGGCTGTTTGGAACTACATGTGGTGAAATATGAAACGGACTGAATTGCACATAACAATGTCCAGTGTCATCACTTACTCACACATGAAATCTGCCTCGACCAACCTGGCAGAACGCGCCCTAATCCTCACTGAACCAAGGGGCAGGGAATAAGAAGCGTTTTACTAGAATTTCTCAAACCTCATGTACACTCATATGCCCAAAACTATACCGACAAACCTTGAATAGTTGATGAACCAGCAGAGGCAGACATTTTGATCGACACCCTGAAAAATTACTACTCATTGAACTTTTGTCCGGTACTGTATGTAAATCAAAATGATGTGTCGATAGGATGACACTTATTTCCCCGAATAAAGATTCAGGCCACATCTGCCCGTCATGTTTGCCATCATAATTGACTATGTAATAGTTTTAAGTGCGTAATAATATGTTGTACCGATGGCATCTCTCGCCAATAGAAAAGCCTTGCAAACGATGCGTAAAGTCTGTGAAGCAAACCTAACATAATAGGTTGCACCAATAATGTTTAACCAGTGTATTACACCAAATCAAACAACACATGCTTCCTCTGTAATATTTCCCCATCAGAAGAACCATTCTACGTACATATATGCTAGTTAGCGGTCACTTCTCTGCTGCGTCTCTCAATTCAGCCGTCTCCCATATCAAAAACCGGCACGATTTAACCGTCATTATTTTTTAACATGTCTTTACACTTCGCCTCCCCGAGCTGGTGGCTTCTGGCTTCTGACTGCTTACAAACTGTTCACTACTGGAAAAACGGCTCGAAATCGTAAATTATGAAATAATCGCTGATCAAAAGTTATTCATCTAGTGAAGTGTTAGTGGCTTGTGCTGTAGAGCTGGCCTGATAAAGACAAGGCACACACCACTAAAGCCAGGGCCACCGCCCCAGTCAGTGGGGCAGCAACAAAAAAAAAATCGCAAAAGCACAACAACATTTCAGCAATTGATCCAAGTACCGTAACAAGCGCAGAAATTTTCGAACGTTGCCCAACTTTTGTCTGCCGTCGGTCGGTGGAGGTCTCTCTTCTTTGTACCGCTCATATACAGTTTTATAACGTATTTCTTTTTTCAATGCTTGCTCACTTCCAGAAAACCGCCAAAAATGTTCGCATTCGATCACTGCTTCTATTCGACGGATCCGAGTGCGGAACACTTCGCCTCCCAGGAGCTCGTCTTCGCCAACATGGGCCGCGACATCCTGGACAATGCCTTCCAGGGGTACAATGCGTGCATCTTCGCGTACGGGCAGACCGGATCCGGCAAATCCTACACCATGATGGGCAATCAGGACAACAAGGGTATCATCCCGCGGCTGTGCGACGAATTGTTTGGGTACATTGCGGCCAAGCAAACCGAAGAACTGAACTACAAGGTCGAGGTGTCCTACATGGAAATCTACAACGAGAAAGTGCACGACCTGCTGGATCCGAAGACGAGCAAACAGTCGCTCAAGGTGCGGGAACACAACGTCATGGGACCGTACGTGGACGGGTTGTCCCAGCTGGCGGTCACAGCGTTCATGGTAGGTTATTCTACTTTATTTTCCGATCTATGCCATGTTTGCTCTTTTTGTGCTGCTCACTCAGTACACCGGGTGGATGGGGGTTTACCGGAATAGAGTTGCATGTGTATGAATGAATCGATAAATGGGTATACGATGCATGTAGGTACATATATGTGCGGGTGTCATACATTATGTTGTCGTTTCAACACTTCGGGACCGGAATCAGATGGGACTTTCCGTCGAGTCGATTCAGGGCGACTATGGTATAGGATGAAATTTCTAATTTTCGACTATACCATTCATTCGCTGGATTTTGTTGTTGTTTTAAGAAATAAGAAGAAAGATGTGTAAAAATTAGTTGAAGCATTTTAAACTTAATTAGCAACATTCAGGAGCTCTAGAAAAACGCGGATTACATATTCCAGTTTCAAGAGTGTAATATGAGAAAGAACTCCCAGAGCGGAACCGTTAGTTCTCCGTTAGTTAATAGGGATGTCTGTAATATTTGTTCAAGATGCTATCTGGAGATGCCGCACAGCACTTCAATTGTTTTAAAAGCATTTTGCAAATTCTATGAAAGTGTTCCGACATGGGTCTGGGAGTTCTTTGATGACCTAAAAGTAATTTTAAACAGCCCTGAAGATTCTCTGATTTAACATGGGAAATCTTATGACTTCATAGTCCTTTAGACTTGCCTTAACTCTGGAAGATATTAGCGGATGTCCCGAACTCGAAGAGAGAAGAAACTTTTGAGAGTCATTTAGAAATCTACTGAAAAACCTAGTGGTGATGTTCTTGAAAAGATATAGTCTTTAATTTCTTTGGATTTACCATGGTAGGCAAAATTTGCCTGTTTTTTATCCTCTCCTTTAGGGGTTTGATCAAAATACGATGTTAGTAAATATTTTGCATAATTTCACGATCAACTTTTGAAAAGGGATTGACTTTTTGCTGTTTTAAATTTAAAGATAATATTTTGAAATCGGTTACAACTTCAAGTTTGAATTCAACGGCTAAAATCTTGAAGATAATTCGAACTTGGTTTTATACACCGTAAATAAAAGTAAAATCATACATCAAATCAGGTTACCAATTTTTTTTTTGAATATGTTTATTTGTTTAGTGTTCTCTAAATTAAATAAAAAACATAATATGGCGTAGTATAATGATTACGATTACATAGGATTTTCAACGAGTTTCTCGATCATTCTTCTGTTACATTATAATCATGAATAAAATTTTCTTCAATTTCATCGACAGCTTTCATAAGTTCCTCCAACGGATTGTAGTTATTAGTATCAGTTATTGAACAGCTTACAGAATTTTCAAATATCATAAAACTTTTCACGATGTCGGGATAATCCAGAAACACGTCTTTTCGCCATACAAATGGAACTGACCACTGGGTCTGATTCATTCATGGCACGAATGAACACATCATGTAAGTTGTCTATCGTTGATGGTTTCCTTGCATAATGGGTTCGATATTTTTTAGCTGATTATGTTGACTTTCTGCTGCCACTTCCGTTAATGAACCAAGAGGTGCTGGTGAACTTTATATATCATCTCCTTATCTATCGTATAAAATGACCACTTGACCACTTTAAGTCTGTTATTTGAAACTTAGCATCTTCAACTATGTAAAATCGTTAACTTCACGCAGAAATAATACAAACATAGGGGAAATGGATGTAATGTCGGTCTAAATGACCCCAATTTAGGCCCATACATAAATTCAGCAGTCGGGAAATTCACAATAAAAAAGCTCTTGGAAGCGCATCAATATGAATAGTGTCTTCTTAGATATGCACCTCATAGGTATTAACTTGGTGCTAAAATGATAACATCCCAAGTAACCAAAAGTTCTGATAAAAGGCTATTTGTGGCTTAAGCATCTTGGTTGCAGGTGGTCTATAGAATTCTAAGCAGCCTCATTTTTAAGTCGTTATAAGAACTTGAAAGTTCCGGTATTATAATTGAAGAGCATTCTAAGCAGCTTCGGGCGGAACTTGAACGGAACTTTTAGAAAATAAATTAAAAAAGGTTTTTGTCCTCTACACTAATTCTATATTTTGTTCGCACTTTTATGAAAGTTATTTCTAAAGGCAGGTATTAATGTGTATTGATTTATCAGCATTAGTAGTAGAAGTGGAGCTGTTTGAAGATTTAAACCCAGTCCTCCTGCGTGAGAGCCCTAGCACGAACCGCTGCGTCCTCTGAGATATAATAAAGTGAGCTGTTGTCCCGCCTACTGTTGGAGTTTTCAGTGCCAGCTGACTAACTTGAATACGAAACACAACACCTTGATGAATTTTAAATTGATGTTTGCCCGCATGGTATTCCAACACATTTGTGGCGCAGTGGTTAGCGTTCCTAGATCGCATGTCGAATACACAGGTTCGAATCCAGGAAATTATTTTTTAATTATTTTTTATGTTTGGATAGAATGTTGATGCACTGCATTAATATAGGAATTATGATTTATTCGGGCCACTGATCATTTAATATTTACGTACATTATTTTGTTACTAATAAAGATTTGTGCGGAGTGCGGAATAAAGTTCTGTCGGAACTTTATTTGAACTTTATGTAACTTGAAAGTTCTGTAGGAACTTTATTTGAACTTTATGGAACTTGAAAGTTCTGTCGGAGCTTTATTTGAACTTTATGGAACTTGAAAGTTCTGTCGGGACTTTATTCGAACTTTATGGAACTTGAAAGTTCTGTCGGGACTTTATTCGAACTTTATGGAACTTGAAAGCTCTGTCGGAACTTTATTTGAACTTTACGGAACTTTGAAGTGATTTTAATCGTTGAATGCGGAACTTTTGGTTACTTGGGATACTACCTATAGCTAAGCAATTCATAGTACCAAATGGCGTGGTTTTCAAACACCTACATCCATATTTAAGCCAAGTCTCGGAATCAACATTAGAATATAATTCGCTGTGAATCTGTGAAAGTGTCCTGCTTAAGTTCAGTAATTCAGAAGATGAACTAGTAGTTAAAATGAATACTTTTTATCATAAGTGCATAAACGTGTTTAGTAAAAGTTGTGAAGTCTCACGGAAAATAATATCAAGAAACTGATTGCGCTGAGTTTTGCGGAAGAGAACCAACTTAACAGTAGCTTCAAAATCTGTGATTCTTGTTGTATACAGCTTTCTAAACGTACCGAACTTCCAAGTCAAGAATCCTTAGCATCTGTATCATCAATAACATCGGCAAAAACAATTGACTCTAATGTTGGCGAATATTCGCAAAGCGTTAATGCTGAACTTTTAAACAAATCTAAAGGGGAAATCTAGACTTACATTTGAAAAGGACGTAACTCCAAAATGAAAATGGAAAGACGTGAAATAGGAATAATTTTTAAGTCATCAAAATTGGGAAGCGATTTTCTCGATATGGGTCTTTTGGTGTTACGCCCTTTTCAAATGTTAGTATAGAAATGTCGGCTTCGGCAAAACCTTAACCTATTATCGTCAGAGGGGCAAACAAAGTCCTAGAACACTCAAATTTGGCCAATAGATGCTCTGAAAAACAATGTATCCACATGCCAAAATTAAGCTCTCAAGGAGGTTTTTACCCCTGACGATAATAGGTTAAGGTATTGCCGAAGCCAACATTTCCTCTATCTAGTATTTTGGCATCACCAATTGATCTGAAGGAAATGAGTTCTGTAAATTATGCTGTGCAGAAATATCTTTAAATTAATCAAAGAATTAGAAAGCACATCTTTGCACTTCATGCAAAAGCTAACTTAGATGATAACAAAACTGACGATTTTAATGAAATTATTGAACAGCTTACAGAGAACTTTTCGAAAGAAGACACAACGAAAACTGAGAAATTTCAGATACCTAGGTCAAGGACAGTTCAGAAAATTATGGACACATTCAATGCAACCAGTTATATGGCTACTCAATCAAAACAACTGTTAAACGATAAAGGTGTACACTCCACTATTACTTTGAGGATAGGCAGTGGATTGAGCGTCAGTCAGTTAAAAAAAGGTTACACTCTACGGGAGTCCTACAACCATGCTTGGCATACACAGTTTTGGTCATGAGTTGCTCATTTGCCAATAACTTTGCACACAGTTGACGAAACATAGTTATCTTTAAATCAGTAGATAGAATAGGGTTTAAGCTTGTTATAGATAAGTAAAAGAAAATAGATTTTAATTCTAGTAAAAAACTGTATTTGTTTTAGCGTTGTAAAAATGAAGTGAGAAATGCTCACTACACATCTTGGACTTTAAGTGTAAAAAATCATTGGTGTTGATTCAAAGTTAAAAATTACCTACTCTTTGCATATCTATTGTAAGCTATGATCCTAATCTATCAATTACTTGAAAGAAAAACCAATTTCAGCAACAGAGTGAAAAGTTATCAACAAATGAGCAGTTGGTGTGTACAACTGTGCATGCCAAGCATGCCTACAACCGATTCAAAGAATTAAATAGTGAAGTACAAATTGGGTTTTCAACTTTTGCAAATCTCAGGCATAAGAATTGTAAATTGTTGACTAGTTCAGGGACACATAATGTGTGTGTGTACATATGTACTATTCATGAAAATGTTAATTTGATTATTCACAACTTAAAGAAATTAGAAGATTTGCGCCATGATTCGGTATCTGTAAACTTATTTATCTCAAAAATGATTGCAATTTAAGAATAAAAATGGAATAGAAGTTGAATGGCATTTCCTCGCAACATCGCATGGTTAAGACCAATGTGATGCTACAGGGGGAACACTGAAACATATGGCTACCAGAGCTAGTCTAGCTAGAGAACGTGAACATCCCATCAAAAATTCAAAGGAACTATACGATTGGGCTCAGAAGCGAAACGAGGATCAGCTGACTCAAATTTTATTTTGTTAACCAACTACTGAAGAATATGAATCTAATAAACAAGAGCTTAACGAACAATACTCAAGAGCTATAATCATTCAAGGAACTCAAAAATACCAGTCATTTATTCCTATATCTGAAAGACAAATAGAAGCCCC